ATAATATAATATAATGTAATGTAATATAATATAATATAATATAATATAATATAATGTAATATAATATAATATAATATAATATAATATAATAATAATATAATAATAATATAATATAATGTAATATAATATAATATAATATAATCTGTCCCCGTAGAATTATGCGAATTTAGATGGCCAAATTATGCCCCAAAAAAAGCCAAATTATGCAAAAATTATGCAAGTTACCGTAACACCTTTCGCGACATGTTTTGCACTTTTTCAACACAAATTTTCATGACTTTTATGTTTTAAGTACAGAAAAATTTAAAACAGAACATATCAATATCAGTACTTTGTAGTGTATTTGGAAAGAAAACAATACACATCTGTAAAAAAAAAAAAAAAAAAAAAAAAAACTAAAAAATATAATCTCTGTAACTTTCAGCTGTCGATCTAGATCTAGATCTAGATCTAGATCTAATTTAGATCTAGAATCTAGATCTGGGAAAGAAAAATGTAAAAAAAAAAATTTTTTAAATAAAAAAAAGGACATCTGGACCTCTAATGCTGGCACATTACTAAAACGAGGAACACCTGTCAAACATGAAGCATCAGCAGACTTTTGATGGATTGAAAAATTGAACATGCTCAAGGAACAAAATCCCAAAACATAACCAAGGGAAATAACCAGTTCTTCACTTAAATAAGACTTATTACGGTGATTATTTCCTTTTAGTCACATGGCGAGGCGTTAATTAATAAAATTAATTGTTTTGTTTTTAAAAAAGGGGAAAAAACGTGAAAAAACGCGGGGAATTCAAAATTATTCAGTTTTGGAAGGCAAGGGAATCCAGAATGCCTGTATTCGGTAAGAAGGGGTATGGTAGTGGGCCCATCTTTTTCGTTTTAAATGATAGCAGTTTTAAATTTTGTGTAAAGGTTTGATGATTGGGATTTTCGGTTTACTTGGCTGGCCATAGTGTAGAGACAAATGTATATATATATGTGTGTGTTGTTGTTTTCCATGGCCCATGCCCCTAGAGTAGATCCCCATTTTATATACATAGTCACCAGTAGATGATCTTTATCTCTCCTCCTTTTTTTGTGTGTTTGTTACTCTCTTGTAACACCTCTAATCTTCGGCACTTATGACCTTATTCTGTTGTAAGTGCCGTAACACACTTACTAAAACTAAAACTAATCTGTTTTGTCTTCTTTATCGCCAGCAATGGTACTGATACTGATACATGGTTTCTATTTGGTCACTTTTTTAGCACAAGGGGCCTGTCCCGAAAAATGCTGTTTTGAGAAAATCGAAGGTAAAGTTTTTGCCCCTTGTTCAGTTTCTTTAAAAGACATGGAGAGTTTTCTCTATAAAAGGGGCCGTTCAAATATAATCTTACGCCTGGGGAGGGGGGGCGGGTCTTTGGTTCCTGTAAGAAAAGTGTAAAGGGGGGGGGGGGGGGTCTTTAGCTAATGTAATATTATACTTTTGTGAGGGGGAAAAAATATTTTCGACATAATGATGAACTCTGCATTTGTTGATGATAACTAATTTCACTTTTTTGTCACCATAAATGATCAGTAATAACATAGAAACAGTGGAATCCTGATAAAGTCAACTTGCTCACAGTCAACACCTCACTGTAGTCCCGTTTCTTACCTTCTTTGTTTAAGTTGAAGTAATTGTGTTTCTGATTTTCTGATACAGTCTACCACTTGAGTATTAACCTTTCGTGAAGTCAACAATTTGGGGCTAAATCCTGAGGTGAATTCATTCTAGAAGAGGTATTTCGCCTGAGCAAGTGGTGTACACACCACCAATTACATATATGTACTTTGTTCTTTCATTCTCTTGTTTTGGTGACAACTTCAGAATTATACTCCCTGAAATTGAGATTACATCTTGTTTATTACGAGGTACTTTGTCATTTTGTAGCTGTCATCTTCAATTTTTAATGGCAGTAGTACAATGGATAAAGTCAACCTTGCTCAAAGTCATCCCCTTTTTTTCTGTCCGGGGTGTTGACTTTATCAGAATTCCACTGTAACTTGTTTTGTTTTTTAATTAAAGCGCTTTTGTCATACGTGAGTTTCAATTTTTTCCCTTTTTATTAGTAAAAAAGAGTGTGTATGCAATAATTTCCTTGAATGATTTACTCTAATTGTGAGGCAGCGTGGTGAAATCAGGCGCTCGTCAAAATAATGAAAGTGGAAAAAAAAAACCTGGCATTTTTCCACAGGTTTGGGAACTTTTATTGAATTTTTTTTTCGCGTTAAACACCTTTTAATCCATACTGAAAAACGTTCATTACATACATGCCCAAAATTTGTGATTTTTCAGTTTAAAAGGCTCTCAAGCATACCTGCCAACCCTACAGAAAAAATCGGTAGATCACCGACTTTTGGGTCAAACTACCGATCCACCGATTTTGAGATGAAGCCACCGACTTCGGGATTCAGCAGGGTGACTGCCAGGCCCCGGGAATTTGAGAAAGTTATCAAATATTTGAAAACCAAATCCGATAACGCCCGAAAGTTCATTTTTGCCGGTCGCGATTGTGATTCATTCGGCTCCCTCGAGAGTATGTTTCTTCATGCAGACACCCCGTATTATTAGGATTAATGAAAACGCATCATCTAGTGCAGAAGTTGTTACGAGCTTACACTTTTGTTTTTCTACTCTGCCCCCTCCCCATTCCTTCCTTTCCACTCCCCCCACCCCTTTTCCACCGCCACCCCCACCCACCCTCTCTCTCGACTAATGAGCGTGTCGTCAGTAATTCTCGGGCAGTCGTGCACATCGATTCACCGTGTTCTTGATTTCCCGTTTCGAGTTGCGAATTGAAAATGGAAATTACGGTGATTGGAGGAAAGGGG